AATGTTAAAAATGTTTATGAACGTTGGAATGCAAAGTGTTGAACATCTAAACTGTATGAAATGAAAAGCTAATATAAGATCACTCAGTGTTTCTTCAGTCAATCTTAAAGGGTCTCTGAAGCACAACCATTTGTGATGGGATGGCCCAATGTAAATGACCATTTGTTAGGAAGGACATATAACTATGTTTCTAACAGTGAAGCTCCTTTTTACAAGTCTCTTTGCACCCACTCAGCCCACGTTTCCTCCTTGTTCTCTGTCTAGATGGACGTTTTTAAGCAGTATTGAGGAGAAGATGAAAGGGGACTGGAGAAACTCACTTTTGATGCTGGGTTGCAGCTACATGTCTTCTGTAAACAAAGCTAGAGTTGGGGAATAGTGGGATTCTACTCTAGCTAAATCTATTGTAGCTGTGTGTACCTCCCTACAACAGGCAGGGTAAGCAGCAGCTGCCTCCAGAATCCTTGACTGAGAATGTGTGAACAGCAGAACAGAGAGAAAAAGAGATAAGCTTGCCTCACTAGCTACTCCCTCACCCCAACATGTTAAAGGATCTATACATTTGGCTGCCAAAATGGAAATCATAGGAAAAGACGAGGCTGATGAGAACAAAATACATCTCTTGGTGCCTTTTAGAAGTAGCATTCAGATAGCCTCTAGAAGGCTCAAAATGCTTCTGTTCGCCTCTGCAAGCCTTCCCTGACCTGGTTGTTTCATTTCACACATGTACATTGTTAGTTTTGAATGAAAGCTTGCTTGAAACATGCTGAACTGCTCTTCTTTTTTTGTGGTGTAGTAACCTCTCCCTTTTAATTCTGTTATTTTTGCCTCTGATACCAAATGTTCTGTTAAGGAAATAAGGTCCAGAAACATTGACTAAGGTCTACCTGCAAACAGGCACCAGATAGAATAAAAATATTTTGGTTCTGTGGTGATCATTCAGGCTTCATATGACCCCCATCTCTGCAAACCTTAGAGCAGGGGTAGGCAACCTTTCCCTTTTAAGGGCCAAGGGACTTCAGCTCCCAGAATCCCAGGAGCTATTGGACAACATGGGACTATTGGCCAACATGGCTGAGGCTTCTGGGAGCTGAAGTCCCTCGGCCCTTAAAGGGGAAAGGTTGCCTACCCCTGCCTTAGAGGGTCCAGAAATGTTCCCATCTCCCCTAGCTCATGGCTTTCTTACTGCACAGTTATCCCACATAAGCCAAACAAGCAGTCAGCATATCAAACACGAAGGAATATGACCAGATCCAAACACAAAGGAATATGATCACAGCCAACTATCTAGAGGTCAACCAGTCAGGGAAAGCTAAGGTGTCCAAATGTTGGATGGTCAGGGAAGGCTAAAGTGGCCAAAGTTTCCAGCCTTGGGTGTATAGTAGCCACCTTAGCCTTCCCTGGTTGGTTGACATCTCGTTGACTGTGGGCTTATGGGAACTGTAGTCCAAACATCTAAAGGGCACTATCTTCAGGAAGGCTGAGGATGGGGGCTGTCAGGTGCCATCAGAGAGGCAGAAAGCAGTCTAAATGCAACACAGAAGAAGAGATGGAAACTAATTGTTGAGGAAGTAAATAATTCAGTCTTGACAAGAAACTTGGTTTTACATTTTTCAATGCTAGCCCATATTAGGTGTAGCTGAGGATTGCCAGCTGGCACCTCCGCCTCAAGATGGCATTGATGCTCTCATGACTTTCTTCTGTCTCTTCTTGTTGCAGGTTCAGCAGCTCCACAGAGCAGAGCAGTGCTTCTCGCCTCCTCAAGCGTCATCGCAGGCGACGGAAGCAGCGTCCTCCACGTCTGGAGCGGGTAGGTGTGGGTCTTGGGGTGGGTGGGTGCTTGAAGGCTTGGGCTTTATTTGGGGGCAGAGAGAACTAGTGTGGTGTGTGGTTTGATGTTGGACTAGACTCCAGGGGACCAGTGTTTGAATCCTTCCTCAGCCATGGAAACCCTTAGACAACTTACTCTCTCTGTGCCTCAGAGGAATGCAACAGCAAACTCCCTCACAGTAAATCTGGCCAATAAAACCATAGGAGAGGCAGTGTGATGTAGCTGCTTGAGTGTTGGAGACTGGGTTTTGAATCCCTACTCAACACGAAAATAATGAGTGACCCTTGGGCAAGTCACACTGTCTCAGCCTAAAAGGAAAGGAATGGCAAATCTCTTCAGAATAAATCTGGCCAAGAAAACCCCATGACAGGTTTACCTTGGGGTCACCATAAGTCAGACATGATTTAAAAATGCACGACAACAGAGGAGATATAGCAGAGACTGTCCCATGGGCTGTTTGTGTGAAATGAACATGGGAAGGGACTGCCATTCCCTGTGTCTCCCCTCCTGCCCAAACTCCTTTCTCTACTGGTTGTTGTTTCAGACTTCATCCTTCAGCAGCGTCACAGACTCCACCATGTCTCTCAACATCATCACAGTTACACTGAACATGGGTAAGCAAGGATAATTTTAAAAAATATCCATGATCTCTTTCAAAATAATGATTTAAAATGAATTTTTTTTTATCAGAATCAGATCTTTACAAATTTTCTTAAACATTTAGTAACATCTGATGCTTGATCAGCGATATTATTGTGAATAACAGTTCTACAACTTTTAATTAAATTACATGAATATATTAAACAGCAGTCTATGGAGATGAGAGATAACTGGAGCTATCCTGTTCTTCAGGTAAACATGAAGTTCACACACTTGGGATCTCTTTCTCTCTCTCTGAAAGCCTCACCTTTTTCTCCTGAGTGCAAAATTAGAGAAGGTCTGTGTATATAGAGATTGGTGAGATGGAGTAGACCTGAACAAGATGGAGGAATGTGGATATAAATGCAAGAGAATAAAATTTTAATGAATTGAAAATTAATCTGAAAGCAGTTCAGCGTAACTGCTTAGAATGTAGCTTCCATCTAATGAAAGCTATGTTTACAAATATGTATAAAGGTTATATTAAACATTTTTTCTCTCTGAAAAGTGATGATTTAATAAAACCTTTCTCACTTGTCATTTATGTCAAACCAATCCTGTGAATAAGAGAGTAACCAGATGTAGTGGGATGAGAGGAATTAAGACAGAAGAGGTTGGGAAGCCAAGTGGGGAGATTGCAAATACAGAGGAGGAGGGGAAGTTACTTTTTTGCCTACCAGCATTCTGGGAATTCCAGTCCCTCCCCAAAAGTAAGTTTTCCAAGCTTCAAGAAAGAATGTGCATGAGTGAGTTAATAAGTGCAAAGGCAAGCCAGCTTGCCTGTGGGCTGGCTAGATGCCAATTGTTGCCATAGTCGACAGCTGACTATAGGGTGATTAAAGACCTTTCTTAACCACAGCAAACAAAATTCCTCAAACATTCCTGAAGAGTGGAGAAACTCCTTTCAGGGGCGTTTTTATGAAAAGGTAAGGCTGGTATCTGGAGTGGGTGGCTTAGGGTGCATGGTAACCCCACTTGGGTCATGAGTAGAGTTGTAAAATTTCCAGCAATTTCCAGAATAGAAATGTTCAGAAAAGATGGGGGGATGTTTTCTCTCCTCTAGTTCTCTGTAATGCTAAACAGACATGCACTTATTCCCATAAAAAGAGCTGAGAAAAGGAAACCAAGACCAGGAGTGAAGTTGATGTTAGATACTGTACGTAGTTTTATATCAAGGTTTGTCTCCTATTTAGCTTTTAGAAATAGCTGGTATGGGAGTAAGTATGTGAACACCTGGCCTTAAGTAGTTTATTCTTCATTAAGGAGCGTATTCCAAAACTCATTAAAAAAAAAACTAGGAAAAACTTTTGAAAGAAATGTAGGGGAAAACTCTGTTTGTTTTCCAATTTTGGAAGGGCCCTTTCCAACTCTATTCACAAGCCTTGCTTTGAGTTGGCCCCTGGGGAATTCTCGCAGTATCCTAGATAACCTTTTTTTCTTACTTACTTGTTTGTTTGTTTGCTTCCTTGCCTGGACAGAAAAGTACAACTTCCTTGGCATCTCCATTGTGGGGCAAAGCAACGAGCGAGGGGACGGTGGCATCTATATCGGCTCCATCATGAAAGGTGGGGCAGTTGCTGCTGATGGCAGAATTGAGCCCGGGGACATGCTGCTACAGGTGAGTCAGTTTCTCCCCTCGGTATGTCAGGATCTCTCACCACTCTGATGAGGTGAGAGTTGTCTAGATCGTCCTCTGTCCTCTGATGAGGTGGGGTGATAACTTCTATGTGTCATGGTGGAGGGATATGCATCAGATCTTGAAGCAGACCTCAAAATATGCACCCCTTCTTTGTCTCAGGTTAACGACATCAATTTTGAGAACATGAGCAATGATGATGCTGTGAGAGTCCTGAGGGAGATAGTTCACAAGCCGGGGTAGGTTTTGTTCCTGATGACCCCTTTCAGGTTCCTCTCTAGATGCGGGTTGTTCTGAGTGTGTGTGTATGTGTGTGTCACTGTGTCAATAGACTCAAGGGCTCCTTTCCTTTCTTTTCTTTAACAGCCCGATTGTGTTGACAGTGGCCAAATGCTGGGATCCCTCCCCACAAGGGTATTTCACCTTGCCAAGAAGTAAGTGGCCAAAATTTTTTCCAGGCCTATGGTGGTGGGATATTCTTTGAACCCAGGCCCATTCTAACTATAAAGCAGTCTTGCCAATTGTACTCTGGCTCAGTTGGACCATGTGGAACTAGGACAAGGCTCCCTGATTAACTCTGGGCCTAAGACTCTTTTACCAGATTGTGAGGGCAATCTAGAACACATTTGTATGGTAGCATGGCTAAAGCTTCAGGCTCTGGATCCAAAGGGGCTACCCATTTGAATTTCACAGAGAGTTGTTTAGTATCGGGGTTGGGGATGGCCTTCCCCAATCAGATTCCCTCCAGACCTGCTGGACTTGTTATGTTTCTTTACGTTGGTTCTGAGATGGGACAACCCTGTCATAGGGTTTGCTTTGCCAAATTTTGTCAGAGGAGGTTCTCCATGGTCTTCCTCTGGGGTTAAAAGAGTGTGATTCTCCCAAAGTCACCTCTGACTGAGTGGGGATTCCAACCCTGGTCCCCTAGAGTCCTAGTCAAACACTCAAATCCACTGAAACATCTTGACTCTTACCCTAGTCCAACATTCAAACCACTGAACCACCCTGACTCTTCCTATCCTGACCTTTACCTGTTGGACTACACTTGCCATAATCCCCTAACCAGCATAGCTGTTGGGGCACGAATGTATCTGAAGGGTGGCTGAAGATGGTAGGGTGATTGGGGGCAGGGCTTGGTTCCTTAGGAAGCTTCCTGGTGCTTACCCTCTGTCTCTCCTCATGTCCAGATGAGCCGATCCAGCCCATCGACCCAGCAGCTTGGGTCTCCCATTCAGCTGCCCTGACTGGGGCCTTTGCTGCCTACCCAGGGAGCAGCTCCATGAGCACCATCACCTCCGGGACATCTGTCACAGAGACAGAGCGTGAGTATCCTCGATTGCCCAGCCACTAGGTGGGGAGG